GTGCCAAAAGCGAGGAGCCTGGGTCCGAAAGTTGGGTCGACTAAATGGGGGGAGAGCGAGGACGGTGCAGGGGATGCGGTGGGGGGTGGTCAGTCATGCCGTGACCTCATCCCCCGCCCGGGCCCCCGCGGGCGCGCGCGTGGGGAGCCTCCGTGCCGGCCCCGCGCCCCTCCCCCAGGTCCTAGCGCCCAGCGGGTTAGGGATGCGCTCGGGAGGTCGTGCCGGGTCGATTGTCTATTTGTGCGGGATCCGCCGGGCCTCTGCACCCCACATCTTCTGGCCCTCTCCGTCTACTCCTCCCCACGACCTCCCGGTCTTCAAAGCGCCTTTGTCAGACCTTTCTCCTCGGCATCTCTTTGTACGTGCATGGATGGAGCAGTGGGTGGGAGGTGGAGGAAAGCGTCCCCGTTCAGGTCTGGCCCGCATCACCTACCCACATTCTGGCTGACGGGATCGCCTGGTAGGCGAGGTAGGCGTAAGAGGGCACCTGGGCCCAGCGCTTTTGGAAGCCGGGGTGCGGGTTCCCAGATCTCAGGGCCTGGGACCTTGGCCTGGAGCCAGGCTGGCTTGCCTGGCACTGCTGTTCTCCTGTGGGCAGAGCCGGACCCGCCCTCTCGGAGGCTTGGGTGGGGGTGGGGCAGAGCTAGCTGACGCCGTGGGAACCGACTCCCCGGAGAGAAAACCCTTGCTGTCTGGGCTCGCCTTCTGGGGACAAGATCCTCTGGTCCTTCCCATCACCACTTACTTGGGAAGGAGGATGTTTGGAGTCCCCTCTAGCTGCCAGTTCCTCTGTCAGGAGAGCAGCGCCAGCCAGGAGAAGGTTCTAGGTTCCTAGCCCTCAGGACCCGGGATGGGGGAGGAAGGGATCCCTCCTTGCAGCTCTCTAGGAATAGGGACCGCAAGGGGCACTGGCTGGCACACGGACCTTGGGCACTTCTTCCCAGCCTGGGTGCTGGCCCGACAGGTTGTCCTATCTCTGAAAGCTCCTTCCTACCATGTCCTCAGGGACAGATCCATGAGGAAAGGGAGACTTTCCTTCACCTTTGTAATTTCTGCTATTGCAGCTCAGGTGACCAGCTTAGGACAGAGAGGGGGATGGGAGTGGAGAGGGTTTATTCCAACCAGGAAGTGGTCCCTCTGGGGAGAATCCTGTTTTGGTGGGGCAGGTGAAGTTGTGGCTCCTCCACCCTCAAGGCCCAGAAGGCATTCAGTCCTAAAGTGGGCACTGCCAGCTGCTTCCCTCCACTCCCCCACCCCTGCTGTGAGCCACTGCCTCCTGTTGTCATGGCAACTGGGAATTAGGGTTTTCTGTAGCAGCACAGGCCCAGGAAGGCAAAGGGAAGAAGGTGGAGGGCTATCTTTCTGCACACTCCTCTGGATCCCTCCTCCATGCCATAGGGGCTGAGGAGCTAGACCTGATCATCCCTGGAGGATGGTGGGGGAAGGCAAATGCAGCTGGAGGAGATCCTGGGATGGGAACAGGAGCTGGTTCAGCCAGGCCTGATTCTGCCCAGAACCCTCTGCTCTCTCTGTCCCTGCTCTGGAATAGGAGGGGTGAGGGAAACAGAGGAAACCAGAGAGACAATTGTTTTGTAGATGGCCTGCTCGGTGCCAGTCCTTGGATCAAGAGGCAAGTGAGATGGATGTGGTTCTTGACCTCAGGGAGTTTCCCGTCTCAGGAATACCCACTTATCCTGCTGTTGACTCAAATTTGTGACTCTTACCCCTCTCAAAAAAAAAAAAAAGAAAAAAAAAAAAGAAAAAAAAAGAAAAAAGAGAAAAAGACAGAGGGCAGGCAGAAACAATTTTAGGAATCGTTAAACTTGGGTTTTCATTATAGCTATTAGCTTTGTGACCTTGGGCAAATCAATTAAGCTCTCTGATCACCTGTCTACTCCTTGGAGAAATGGGTACGTGATATCTGTCTCCGGAACAGTGGGCCCATCCACTTTCTGGGCAAGCCCTCCCCCTGCTTTTCAGCTGCTGCGGTGGGGGAGGGCTTCCTGTTGCTTCCCCTTTCCTTGCCTTGGCGCTGCTCATCCTTCCCTCTCCCTTTTCCAGGAGAGGGACTTCAGTGCCTTTGCTGACCTCACCATGCCGGTCGCCGCCACCAACTCTGAGTCTGGTAAGAAGTGGGTGAGGATGTCAGTTGGTATCAGTGGTTCAGAGGTGCCAGGCAGGGACTGGGTAAAGCAGTCAGGTACGCCACAGCTCCCTGGAAGAACACATAGCCCCCCACTGCTGCCCCAGCTAGCCTTTCCTCCAGTTTCTGGGGCCATCTGCTCTGGGCGAGGGGTCCCTGTGAGGAGCATGCAGGTGCCCAGGGGAGACAGGGCACGGCTCCCCTGCTGCAGGCTGGGGTGGGGTGGATGAGCCACAGCACTGCTGGAGGGCTGTGGCCTGGGACAGGCTGGAGAGAGACCTGACTCCTAGAAGCCGATGGCCTGAGGCAGTAGTCTGGCAGCACAGCCCTGGAGCTGACAAGCTCACTGAGCGCAGTACCCACCAGAGGGATGGATGGAGAAGACCAGCCTGTACTAAAGATAGGGAAGCTTAGACTCCCTGTCCCTGGGGAGATCTGGACATCTTGCAGCTGGGGAGCCTCCGGAGCAAGCTGGTTAAACTCTGAGCCTGCATTTCCTCTCTGTCAAGAAGCTCACAGGCTATAGCAGGGGAAAGCCTCTCCTGTGTTGCTGGAGCTGACGTGGAGTCTTTTAGGACCTGAGTTTCTCATCTGTATGGGATGGGAAAGAGCAGTGTCCTCAACTTTTCTTGCTCCTGGATCCCTTTGAGAATCGTATGACAGACTCATCGTAGACAAATGCTTTTATGTACAAAACCTGCATTCCAGTCTAGGGGTTCATGGACTTCCTGAAGTGCATTCAGGGACCCACCTAGTGACATTCCTGGTCTAGAGGGTCTCCAGGGCCCTAACCGCTGTAAGCTGCTCTGGTTTCTCCCCCTGCTCGCATGCCTCTTGGCCCAGGCAGCCCCTCCCCTCACTATAGACCCTAAGACCGCCTCTGCAAGATGTCCAGGTCTCCCCAGTAGGTTAGACTCCCCTGTCCCTCTTTTCTGAGAAACTGGAGTTTTCCCTCAGTAGACTGAAGGCTGCTGGGAATTGACCAGAGTCAAACTGTGACACCCTGGAAAGGCCTCTTCTCCATGCAGTGTGGGTGGGGGTGTACTAATGCCCCCCAGCTCCTGCAGCTTGGAGAGTTCAGTGCCTCCTGCTCTTGTCCAACCTCTGGGGCCCCCTGGGCTCCTCTCCTGCTCTAGCCTGCCTGGGCCCCACTGTAAGCTGCTTAGGGGTTAATTAAACCCATCCCTGAGCCTGTGATTAAAGGTCTCTCAATCGGGGCTGCGTAGTAAACCCACTAATAGTCCATAGAAGGGGTGCAGGGGGAGGAAAGGGCCCAGCAACTGACTCTTCTGTCACAGGTGACTTGATGGGACACGGTGGGGTGGGGGACAGGGCAGGGAGAGGAGCGCTGGGGATATGGGTGAGGGATCTGCTTCTCTGGTGACTCTTGGGCCCCCTGCTTCCGTGAATGTCATGTCATGGGCTGCCCCAGCCTTCCTAGATCCACAAGGACAGGAGTGAGCTGCTAAGTGCTCAGAGCCTCTATTTCCTCTCCTTGAAGAGCTGAAATGAGAAGGAAGGCAGGAGGTTTAGACTTTCCCTCAGGCAGATCTCTGTGGCTGCCCCAGGGCTAGATTTGCTCCTGGCCCCAAAGCTCTAAAGGTAGCTTCTGCCATTCTCATTGGTGGGTCTCCCATTTCCAGTTGATCTGATGGAGACTGCTGCACCCTGAGTTCAGTTCACGCCCCCTACCATCTCCCTTCCCCAGGAGAACCCTGCCTTGGGCTGGGTGACAGTGAAGCTAGCAAGGCCTTTCTCCCTACCTTCACACCAATGCTGCACCCCCAGTGTGGTCACTGTCCCAGTGGATGGAGGGAAATGGGCGGGTGGGGTGGGGTGGGAGTTAGGCAGGTGGCAGCCTGGGCCCAGTGTTCAGAGAACTGAACCCTGGAGTCTCCAGGCAGACTGGCCTCGCTTCCCCTCTCCCTGACTCCCTCCTCTGAATCAAGGCCAGGATGCCAGGCCGCCTCCAGGCGGAGCTGTCCCTTTAAATCCCTCCCTCACCCCTGGGTTAAGGTCCTAGTGTGTAATCCCCACCTGCTGCCATGGCAACCAAGGGTGTGAGGCAACTTGGTGCCACTCCTTTGAGAATGACTGTCTGGTGGCAGCAGCAGCACCTGGTAGTGGCCTCTTGGGTTCAGGGAATCAAGAATGGAGGCACCTGGCTGGGGATGCTGCCAAGTCTGGCCTTTCTGCCTTGTCCTGCAGCAGAAATGAGCCCCCCTTTCCTTTCCTCAATGCCAAGATGCCTTATTTGCCCAGGGGCACCCCCCTTCCTTACTCAAGAAGGAGAGCTAATGGGAGATGTGGGGTCAGAAGGGTCTGAGGCATCCTTCCCGGCCCGCAGGTGGCACAGATCCCCAGACCCCCCATTCCTCTCCTCCCCTCCCCGTCACCCCTGAGGCTGGCAAGTAGGAGATGGTTTGGGGGCTTGAGGTATTTTCCCCAATATGCAGTAGAGCTATAGCCCGAGAGTTCTGGGGGCTTCCTTTGATCTTGGGTGATTCAGGGAAGGGCCTTCCAGCAGAGAGGGCAGGAACAAGATGGGGCCGGTCCCTCCAACCCCAGCCTCCTCCAATGGGCCGAGGGGCTGGTGTCTGTGCATCCTCACAGGACTGAAGAGGCAGCAAGCTTAGCCCCCGCGCCCCCTAGCCCTCTCAGCGTCCTCCTGCCCTCCCGCATTGGAACTAAAACGTGGGGGATCTGGCCACCCCCGAGACCCATACCCCATCTTTCCCAGCGTCTCCCCACCAGTCTGCTGCCTTAGCCAATCAGCGAGGTGGCCAGAGCAGCGGAGCCGCGCTATTGGCTGGCCCTGCCGAGGGCGCTCCCCGAGGCCCACCTTCCCGCTGCCCCCCTCTGCCTGGGAAGGCGGCTGACGGCGGCGTGGAGGCTACTCTGGAGCCCCTGGCTGAGGGCGGGGGACAGCCATGGCGGGCAGCCCAGGCAGCGGGGCCTCCTTGGAGGGTATATCCCTGGGGTCCTCTGAGGAAGCTGAGCTCCGGAGGGAAGGTAAGGGAAAGGCAAGGCGGGAGGCTGGGGGGAGAGCGGATCCTGCAGGGTTTGGGACACCTGGAGAGGGTCCCCTAGTAGTGGACTCCTGGGCTGGCGCTGGCCTGCACAGAGGGCCCCCGCTCTCCTGGCTCGGTGCTCCCGTGGTGGCCGCCGGGAGGCTGGGGAGCTGATCCAGGGTATCCTGGAAGAATGTGGTCCCTGCTCTGTCCTCTTTCTGAGCCCCCTAATATTATACCTGGCAGGTCTCTGAGCAATGCGAAACCCAGGGGTGGGCAGGAGGGGGCTTGCGGGTCCCTCTGATGTTGTTTCGGGGCAAAGTGAGGAGGGGGCCGGGAAAGAAGTTCGGAATCCTGGAGCCCCTATGCCAGCTCCAGTTGCAGTGCCCCCCCCCCATTCCCATTCCTTCTGGAGAAGGGGAGGGTTCTGACAAGAGTGGGGAGAGGTGCCAGGGATTGTATCCACCCCCCTCCTCCATGACTTGGGTGCTGTTATGCAGATGTCAGTGTGGGTGGCAGGGTGGCAGAGTAATGATACCCCCTGCCCATCTCTACCCCCAGCTGGGCACACTCTGCTTCTCCCGTTCTTCCCCCAGAACCTGCTGCATCCAGGAGCTCCCACCTCTGCTGGTGGGTGAAGGAGCTTAGCAACCACTGCCTAGGCCTGCTGCCAGGTGTCCATGTCTTTGGTGCTGTCCTACCACGGCCTGAGGGTTTGCTAATCCCTGGCATGACTTGGTCTGACCTCTGACCTTGGGTACCCACAGCCATCCTAGAGTGCATTTCTCCAGCTTCTGCCAATGTTCCAGGACTCGACTTTGACTTCCTACGATCCATACGAATTTCTCTATGACTGTATAGATCATTGTTGGAGCTGAAGGGCCTGTAGACACTAGCTAGCCCAGCCTACCCATCTTACAGGAGGGAAAGACCGAGGCCAGTGCAGGACATCATCTTGTGCAAATCACGGTGAATTAGCAGCGCAGCTTATACTGGGTGCTTTGTCATTCCTGGTGTCCTTGCATGGTCGTCAGCTAGATTCTAGGTGTGCAACTGGGGACATGCTCCAAGTGCTGTCTCTTCCCTGAGTCCGCCAGGTACCAAGGTTGACTCCTAGAGCTTTTGCCCCTGCGGAGATTGAGAGGGGAGCCCGTGGCTCTCTGATTCAGGGCAGAACTTGGAACCTGGCACTTGCTTCCTTTTCTCTACCTGCTCAACTGGCATTACCTAGGGAGGAAGGAACAGGCCAAGAAACTGTACCCTCCCTAAGGCCCCTGCCCCAGGCATCCAGGGGTCTGGAGTGCCCATGCTGGGCAGGGAGGAGAGTATGCTGGGGAGGGGCTGAAGTGTATAGGACATGGGGTAGGAGGGGAAGGGTTGCCATGGTGTGTTTTGGTCTCCTGTGCCAGCTGGTACCTGTATGTCTCACGATCTGCTCCTTCCCCCAGCCATGCAGCAAGTCCTGGACAACTTGGGGTCCCTCCCCAATGCCACGGGGGCAGCGGAACTAGACCTGATCTTCCTTCGAGGCATTATGGAAAGTCCCATAGTAAGATCCCTGGCCAAGGTACAGTGCTCCAGGGAGGTGGGCACAAGAGCACTGTGTCTGGGGTGGTTGCTGGGGACCCTGGGAGTGGGGTACATGGCCCAGGAGACAGGGGGGCGGGGGGGGCGGGGGGGGGAGGGAGGGAGTGTGCATGAACACCTATGCCCAAGTGATGAATCCCAATGAATCCCTGCAGGTCAGGCTGTCCCACACCTGGCAGGTGAGCATGTGCCTGAGCCTTGTGGATGGATCTTTGGTGACTGCGGGATTGTGGAGGGTTTCAGAGGTGGGGGGTGAGCACACCTGCTCTTTGGAATCTCCTTCCTGTCCATCTGCCTTTGGGCATTTTGTGCAGACATCTTTTAAGGTCCCCTCTCATGCATCAGGTGGGGGCAACACTCACTGAGGGAGAAAGTTGCAGTGACAGAGGCTGACGCTCTTGGCTACTCGGGAGCATCATGGACAGGCGCCAGACCGGGCCCTGGGTGGCCAGGGAGGGCTTCTGGAGCAGGGGCCTCTAGAGCCGAGCCTTGAGGAATGGGGAGAAGGGGGAGGGCATTCTGGGCCAGGGGAAGAGCTCTGCAGGAACAGAGGCGAGAAAGAGCCAGGGGTACGTGGAGGACTGTGAGTGTGAGGCTGGAGCTTCAGGCGTGAGACTGGGTGTGAGCTGTTGGCAGGTCCGTCTGGGCACTGGGGCTGTGTCCCCTGGGGGGAGGGGGGGAGGCATCATTCTGTGAGCCCCAAGGCTTTAAGCAGGGTGTCCTAGGATTACCCCTCTGGTCATAGGGGGTGGGAGGAGAGGGGGCTGGCTGGAGAGCGTAGTCAGGGCTGACCCTGAGAAACTTCTGACAGCACTTGAAGGAAGGAAGGATGAAGGAAGTATTTTGGAGTAAATTGGCAGCCCTTGGTGTTTGGGCATGAAAGGTGGGCTGGGGGCTTCAAGGACCCAGATTCCACACTTGGAAATGTGAGGCGGGGAAGTGCGAGGAGGCACTGCCTTCAACTGCCTTTGGGGAGCTTCCTCTGCAGAGGAGGGGAGCGTGGGGAAGTGCTCTGTGGAGAAGGGCCTGGGAGTTGCCTGAGAACCGCGGTGGGAATGCAGGTGGGGGAGGGGGCATTCGCCAGTGCAGGCTCCAGTAGTGACTGAAGGGGAAGGGAGAGCAGGATCCAACTTCTTGGGTAGGGATGGCTTAGTCTTTAGACGCAGAAAAATAAAGAGTTGACTTTGGTCCAAGACTTGCACTGGGCAAGGCCTAGGGAGGCTGAGACCTGGGACAGCGTCAAGGGGTTGGCGAGTGCCTCCGAGCATCACCCTTGGGATACTGCTGGAGGCAGGGGCTCTGTGAGGTCTCAGTATCCCAGAGAGAGGGTGTGCTGGGGGAGAAGAAGGTGGGAAGGGGAGACTTGTAGGGGAGACAGTTCTGAGGGGTGAGGGGACAGTTGAGGGTGTGGCTGCAGGGAGAGGAGGTCAGGGACAATCGAAGGCGCCAGTGGGAGGCTGGGCTGGATGGCATCGGAATCCAGGGTGACAGCAGGCTTGGGGTGGGCCGAAGCCTGGGGCAGCCCCAGTCTTCAGCAAGTGATGGGTGGTGACCGATGGTGGTGGGGGTGACAATGACAGTGACTGTTGGGGTGAGCAGGTGGTGCAGCCAGGTGGTGGCTTTCCACGGGTGGGGATGGGGGCTTCACCACAGGACAGCCCTGGCGCGGGGTCTGGCGAGGAACCGGGCCTCACCGGAGGGACAGAGATGCCTCCTGGGACATGGCGTGGTCACCTTATCGTTGACTGACTGGTGGAAACTGGTTGTTAAGGATGGGACATGAAAGGCCTTCCAGAAGCAGGAGGTTCTGTGGAAGTAAGAGCAAAGCAGGTTTGGAGGCGACTGGAGAAAGGCTAGTTGGTTTCCATTCAGTGGCCGGGGGTTACATCCATGTACTGAAAGTAAAAGGAATTATCCCTGTGAGCCCCACGGGAACACGGGTGTCTGCGTCCCTCCTGCGTCCCCGGAGCCTTGCACAGCGTCTGGCTTGCAGGCGGAGCTCGCTGGATGTGTGTTGAGTAGAAGAGTACAAGAGTGTGAGAAATAACAAGACTTCTGCCAACCCACCCCCGGGGTGTGAGTGCCACCCAGTTTGCTTCAGCATGAGCTCTCTCTTTTTAAGAATTAAAAAAATATAGTCGAGCTGATGCCTCTCCCCTGCTTTCCCTCCCCACACCGCACCACTGACTTTGGGTTGAACGTATTGTGCCTCTGAGTGCTTGCATATCTTGCCTCCATTTGCATTCAGATGCAGGTAATATGTCCCTGTTATGTGTTTTTTAGTTTTACGAAACACTTGGGATTTTGCGGTGTCTTGTTCATGTAAGTAGTAGAGTTATTGACCTAAGTCTAGTTGTAGATACGGGTAGATTCATTAACTGTGGTGTCCAGTGCGTGAGGAGAGCTAGTTGGTTTCCATTCAGATTTATTTATTTATGCATACAAGAGCTGGGGTACAGGCCAGAGGTGCAGGGGTGAGAGGATTCACCAAAGACAGAGTGGGGAGCAGAACAGGCAGACTGACTGAAATACACTGCTGAGGGGAGCAGTGGGTGAGACAGGAGCGATCTGCCTCACCATGTGGGTAGCTCCCTGGCCTGAGATCGAACTCATGCTGCAGTGGCTGAGGATAACTTCATAGTGCTGTGCTTAACTCCTTGCGCCACCAGGGAGGCCCTGAATATGTGCCTTTTGAACCTCAACATCTGTGACCTTCCAAAGCTGATTTTGAGTTGGGTTTATGAGACCACATGAGCCCTGGGCACATGAGCTGTTGCTCCCACATAGACAGACAGTGAAGTAATGAGGGGCTCTTGAGGAGGCAGAACCTCAGGCTTAGAAGGCTCTCTAGCCCACCCCCTTCCAAAGTGTGATCCCCTAATTGACATCCCCCTCTGGGGCTGGGTCCAGTCCTCTTGGCAGCTCGTGAGGAATGGGCTGGCTGACCGACTGGCTCTGTCCGTCACTCAGTCATTCAGTCATCTGCCTTCTCAGTCAACAAGTATCTACTGTGCGCTCGCCAAGTACCAGGCACCATGCAGGGGCAGTGAACTGGCATATTGTTGCTTCTTCTGATGGAACCTGATTCTCCCCACTGAGCCCTGCGTGTCCATGTCCTGGGGACCCTCCTCCACCTAGGAGCCCAGCTGAGAGTTACCAATGCACCACATCAGACTGAGTAAACTCCCTTCTCCAGAAATGTTCTTGGGGATAAGCTGGTCAGAACTGCTTCCTGAGAAATTCCTAGTGCGGTTCCAGATGCACACAATACAATAGAAAATGGTGTCAACAGTTCTTTGACTGTAACATGAGAAGCCATGGACGAGGGCACCCAGCGACCTCTGTCCACCTCATTGTGCAACAGGAAGTGAACGTCCACAAGGGCCTGTCTGAGCTCAGCAAAACCCCAGCTGCACTGCGGTGTGACCACACTAACTGCCTCCACCACTCTTGAGTCTTGGCTTCCCCATGTGCTGCACTGTGGACAGTGGAACCTACTTCTTACTCCTACTCATCAATTTTATTTTATTTTATTTTATTTTATTTACATTTTAAAAGGGCAGGTTTATCAGAAAGAAGAGAAAAAAAAAAAGAGAGGCACTTGCGTAGCCATGGGCGGGCAGGAGAGCTCCTTCTCACCAATTTAAATGATCACATATATAATGTCTAACCTAGTGGACAGAGTATTTTGATCCAAGATCCAACTGCAGAAACTCCTCCCTCCTTCCCTGTCTTCCATCCTTCCTTTGTTTCTTCTTCCTCCCACCCTTCCAGGAACAGAGTGGAGTTGAAACGGCATATGGTCCCTGATAAGCTCCTTCCCTTATCCTTACAGAGTGTGTTTGATTCTCGGTCCTGGGGGAGAAACTGGGCTGGGTAGATCAGGGAGGTAAGGGAGGAGCAGGACCCAAGGGAACAAACCCAGAGGATTAAAGGCTCTGGAGGGAAGTCAAATCTGGCAACCGATCCTAAATCCAGGGGGCTGGCTGTCGTTGGCAGGTGGCAGCCGTGACAGGTAGGTGGCATCTGGGAGGGCTGACATGAATCCAGCAGCAGGTGTTGTGACAACAGGCCAGGCTACCGTGAGGAATCCGCCGCAGGTGATACTTTGCAATTCAGGCCTGTGAACGAGTCCACCTGAGGGGAAGAGAGAATAGTCTGGAGTCAGAAGATTCGCCGGTTGGCTGTGTGACTTCAGTATGTCTGACAGCCTCTCTGAGCTAAGGCCCCTCTTTCCTGAGAAGTAAGGACAATGATGCCTGTCTTTCAGAGTCGTGGTGGGGCTGGAGGGAGGTCATGGATGTGGACATGCTTTTAAATGACAGAGTTAGTTGCTTTGATGTGGTCTTGGCCAGTGGACTGGAGCCGACAGGGGAGACTCCTCTCCTGTAGTGGGGCTGGCATGAGTGATCTGGCAAAGCAAGACAGAACCCTAGAAGAATGAGGGTCCAGGAAGGTCCCGGTGACAGAGACTGACCAGGGGACATGATAAGCAGAGGCTGCGGAGGTGGGGGCAAGGGCACAGTCATCTTTTGCTGCATAATTAAGCATCCCATCATTTAGTGACTTGAGCAACTGTGGCTTGTTTCTCATGATTCGGTGAGTTGGTTGGATGGTTTCGCTGGCCTGGGCTCTGCTCGGTTGGGGCAGGTGTAGGATGGCCTTGCTCCCATGTCTGGGTCTCCGCTGGGGAAACGCTACCATATAGGATGCTGAGGACTCTTCTCCTCTGGGAGGGCGGCCGAGGTCTCTCCTCATGGTTGTCTCAGAAAGGGAGGACAGCTGCTAAACCTGGAGCATTGTCCAGGCCTCTCCTTGCATCTCATTTGCTAATGTGGCATCAATGAAAGCAATCTGGTCAAGAGTGCAGAGTGCTTTTGTCCCGGTCCCGCACACTGCTCCCATTCGGCTTCAGAGCTATTTATTTCCCTGTCTTCTGGCAGGTTCAGAGGCTGGTGAGTGGGCGGAGGCAAAGGTTTT